TCGATTGAACAGCGGTTCAGCAAAGGCTTGGCATTGGCCTGATGTGGTGGGTTTTCCATCTTGTAAACTGTTCATGCTGTAGTCATGACTCCTCTAGGCTAATCTGCTTCACTTTAATTTATGTGCAACAAACTACTCCGTAAAGTTTATTATGCATTTTGGGTGTTTGGATTTAAATAGAACTTTTTGCATTGTTTTTGGTTTTTTGGTTTAAATGTAGTTTTAGTCCGTGCAAATATATGACATTCTGTTGACTTACCGATTGCAATAATATATTTAGAAATTACTTCAAATAGGACTAAAATTATGGCGAAAATTCAAAATAGAACTTGATATGTTTTTATTCCAAAATAAGAACATATTAGTCCTATTGGAAACATACCTGTATTAAATGTTTAAAAGTGTCAAAATATCATAGAAAAATACTAAAAAATTTAAAAAAATATTTATAATTTTTTTTAAATTAATAAAAAATAGTAAAACCCCATACAAAAATAAAACAAATATGGATGCCTTTTCCACCGTCTGTACTAACTCCCTGCACCACCACCTCCGACCGGTGTAAAAAATACAAAAAAAGCATATTACTCTTTGACAATGCCAACATTTTCATTATTTCTACCATAAATATGGCATTCCAAATGCAAGTGGCATTTTTTCCTCGGTGACTGGAGGTGGTGGTGCAGGGAGGCACCTCCGACCGGTGAAAAAATGCCATTTTTTCTAAAAACTGCCATTTATTTTGAAAATATCAAAAAATTACATACTATCTTCCGTCTCTTTTTAATCGCAACATGTTGAATTTTACACTATTCACATGTCCTACTTTGACTACATTTTATGTTATTATTTTATGAAAATTATTATTTTTAAAAAATATTGTTCAATTCATCACATTAAAAATTTCAAAATCTAATTTTTAAATATTTTTTACTAATAGAGATTAAGATATAATTACAGTCAAAGACGTGCGTTGACAAGTGTGAAATGTTAACCGTTGCAACTAAAAAAAGAACAGAGGAAGTATTACTCTTTGAGAGTGCCAACATTTTCATTTTTTCTTCCATAAATATGGCATTCATAATGAATGTGGCATTTTTTCCCCTGGTGACTGGAGGTGGTGGTGCTGGGGCGGCAAAGGCGGTGGTGATTTTTTTTGTGTTTTTAATTTTTTATTTTTCATATTTTTTTTAATTTTTTGAATTAATTATTATTTATATATTTTTATTATTTTTTTTAGTATTTTTTACGACTTTTTATTACTTTTTATTATTTTATTATGAATTAAAACATTTCAATAGCTATAAGGCTATATTTGTCCAAGACACACACAATTAGTCCTATGAAAACATAGTTTATATTTTTGGTCCTATTTGTGCAAAGTGACAGACTTTTAATCCTACTAGTATCGTACCCGTGCGATGCACGGGTCAATGATATTTATATATTTTATATAACTATTTAAAAGTCATGATAAAGATATGTTTATTTTGAATGCAAGTGACTATTAGGAAAAAAGGGCAAATGATTATGTGTCGGATACTCCGTATGTGTTACTCGGCATGTGATACTCCCTCCGTTCTTTATTAATTGTCTTATATTCCTTTTTGAAATGTTTTTTTATTATTTGTCCATCTTTTCATTTATAGTAAGTTTTTTCAATCAAAATACTTTTATACACTATACTTTCTACTATTTCTTTTTCATACTTTTTATTATTTTACTCTTCTTAATATGTTGTCTTTCTTACTTTTCATTTACCTTGCACCCTGTTTACTACTCTTACTATTTTATTCTAAAAATCACAAAAAACCGAGGAGACTATTAATTAAGAACTAAGGTAGTAGTTATAATTGTTGCACAGTTGCACGGGCGAAATTAAAAAAAAAACTTGCCCAATTCTTTTATACAAAAAGACCAAAGCTGATGATATATAGAAACATAAATAAAAAAAAAACTTTACAAAACAAATTTAAGTATACTGTTTGGGAAATTCTATGACTGTACACTGATCACTAATTTTATCCTTTTAGTGAGTCGTGAGCAGGCGAGCAGCAACATGTAACTATTGGTATGCTAGATCATTTTACATTGAATAAAATCCTAAATACACCATAGTACTCCTTTCTCATATTACCAGGACAGGCATGCTAATTTCAGCCCAATATTCTATCTCTCTGTGGTATGGCATGCGTACGTTTGTATATACATACGAAGTACTACGTATATAACTTGACAGGCCCATTTTCACATCAACCCTAAGTGTGTCTATATATCTTTCAATTCAAAACACTCTTTCTCTCTAGTTAAGTTCTTCAATTCTTATCTCTTGTTCCTATCTTAATATTCTTCACATATATCTTTGAATCCATCTATTTTTAGGGTATGATGATGTTTATTCATGAAACCAAACATTTACAATTTAAGATATTTCCTAGATTGTAAAGTCTACGTACTTGCCAAGTAGATTTAATTTATTACGGAGTATATATGAACATATAAAATCATCTTCATTTGGCCATGTATTGAGCCACATTTTTATTTAAAAGTTTTCTGATCATCAAATGATCGGAACATTACAATACCAAGGTTTTTAAGTCAATGTATCATAATCTATGAAAGTGCATTAGATTTGAATAGTAAGTGCATATGAATATACCTCTCAATATGCAGTATGCAGGGTACTTCTACTCTTACGCCCTGCTAACCAAAGGTCCGTCCAAAGCTTCAAGCCCCAATTGTACATACTCATGCCTGAATGCTTGATTCATCTCATGGATAATAGATGAAACAACTCATGCTTGATTATAAATGTACTCGAAAGAATTTAGTTGATATAATGAACTTACCAATAATATGCTAGTAAAGTGGAAAGCAAATGAATCTTTTCTGAGTGCTCGTAGGTAAATAACCGGTTTAGAAGCCATGTTACAAATTATATGGGCAGTTATCAAAGTCTCAGAAGAAGTGCCGTACGTTAGTCACTTATTGATCACAGGAGTTTCTTAGGCGGGAACAGTTAGGGGACACACGGTCCTCTTTTTATATATATAAAGATTTTGATAATTAACTCTAATATATTTTACTGAATTTAGATTGTATTTTAAGTTGAAGTTATGTAAACATAATTGACATTTCATAAAGAACATGTTTACAAAATTTATCAAAAAATTCTATAAAAAAAGAATTTCAAATGGAAGCGGACAGACGGTGTTTTCGGTCAGCCGTCCCAAAAAGGTTTGCCAAATTTTGACCAATGATATTTTGTGGTTAATAGTAATCAATTTTGACCAACGATTTTTTTTAATACGAAATTATTTTTTATTTCAAATTTAAAATTTACTTTTGGTGTTTTTTAAAATTTATTTTATCAATTTAAAGTCAACAAAGGTAAAATTGATCCTTGATAAGAACATGAGGGATATTTTTTCACTTTTTTAAAAATTCAGGGTTGTATATGCACTCCCACATATACTTCAAGGGTATATTTGTTACGAAAAATAGAACATGTGTATATTTGTTCTCACACCCATACTACAATGGTATATTTGTACCTTTTCCCTTATATTAAAATGTTCCTTATCACGAATATTTTCATAAAGTATAATGTTTATTAATTTTATACAAATATAATAATTAAAATTATTTTCCAAAGTTTGTCATCATTGATCAAGAAAAGTCCATATCAAAACCTATGGGTGGACTCGGTCCTGGTCTGGTCCCAATTCCGATCTCGGACTGACCAGTCCCGATTTTGGACCAATCGGTCCCAGTATCTGGTAGGAGATGCTCGGATCTGACTCAGTTAAATCCGAGTATTGATCGATCTCGAGTACCTGGGCGGTCCGATTTTTGTCCCACACCGGACCTAGTCCCATTCTATTTTCTTTTTCATTTTCAAGGCTAAAAAAGTTGGTCGGTCTGGGACTAGAACCTCCCCGATGTTGTTCCCAAATGGGTGAATCAGGACTGGGACTGCCGGGTACCTGGTCCAGCACCAGGACCGGTTTTTACGGACCCGGTCTGGTCCAGTCCAACATAGTACTGGACCCAATTCCGGGCTGGATTGTACGTGTCCACCCCTAAAAAGACCTTTTGGGACGGAGGTAGTATTATACTCCCTCCGTCGCATTTAAAGGTTTCCATCCACTATTCTTCAGTCAACGTGAATTGTTCTTAATCTTTTACTTTATATATTCAACTTTTATCAAATTTATTTTTTCTTGATCAAGCATTATGAAACTTTTAATGCAATTTCTTATTATACAAATTTAATTCACTAAAATAATCTTATAAAGGACATAGATCAGTTAATTTTATGATCAATCAAACATCGTAAAACGTGTGAGAACCTTTAAGTGAGACAGATGGAATATATTAGTTGTCCATTTAAACATCATTGTAATAAATAGTCATCCTGCATGTTGTGGTTCAGTTTGTGGGACAGATGGGAACCTTTAAGTGTCTTGTTTTGCCTACGGTGTTGTGGTTCGGTTTTTTAAATATACCCGCGAAGATTGAGATGACATGAGGGGGGTTAATGAAGTCTGGCATATATCTGACGTGGATACTAATAGTACAGTTCCTATACCGTGGGATCATCCCAGGGTGAGCACCGTACTCCACATCCCAAAACGATGTAGTTTTGCATATTTAAAAAAAATCGCGTGAACAGTAACACGTGAACAGTAACGCGTGAACAGTGACTATTTTTTGTCCCAAAAACATGAATGATGTAACTCGCGTGTAAAATAATGTAACTCATGTTATTGATCGATGTAACTCAAGTCCAGTCGAAATGTAATTTGGCAAATACACAGTATAAGAAATAAAACATTGATTTCAATATAAATAATGAAAAGAAGAAAACTATTTGCCCAATTATTTTACATAAATATTGTATATGTTCATTAGAATCTGAACTTTCATATTCAAAACATTATTCCTATTATACATATATACTAAACCAAACATTTAGCTTGAAGTCATTATATATTTATGTTTACCCACATATACGCAATACTCCAGATCCAAAATATGGCACCTGCAATTTCAGAATTAAAAAAGGGATATGTTGAATGGGGCGATTGAATGATAATCTTTTGTTTGGGTCTATTTGATGCGATGCACAATTCGTATTTGAGAAGCAGGTATGTAAACACAATTCTTTTCTATGCAAAGAACTCTTGGAATGACTTCTGGTCCAACATCTGGAGTGCGGCGGAGTTCTATGGTGAGCTGAAACAACGAAGGAGACGAAGGGGATCCGGCAATTGATGTTTTTTTAATAGGAAGCATAAAACTGTACCGTTTTGGGATCGGCACACCATGCTCATGGTGGGCCGATCCCACGGTATAATTTGCGCTAATAGTAGCTACTGCAACTATACATAACAAATTAGTTAGGACTGTTTTTTCGTTTAGTTACATATATGTATACTCTTTGTATGTATATTAGAATATAGCATGTGCAGTTTAACGTGTATAAAGACTCTACGTAAGAAGTGATTCGAAATATGAATGAAAAATTCTTTTCTTCCTCCTAATTCTAAAATGGTATCAGAGCGCTGAAAGTCTTCTGCCATGGTTCTGGAAACTGAAGATCCAAATAATCCGCTATATCTTCATCATGCTGAAACACCAAGACAAACTCTTATCTCTCTGAAGCTAATGATGATTGTGTTGTTCTTAAGGAAATGAATAAAAGGTATGAACGAAAATGCATTATGCAATTTCTCATGGGGACTGAAGGAATCATTTAATCAAGTTAGAAACCAAATTCTCCTCAAGGATCCTCTTCCTAGTCTTGATGCCATATTCAGATTGATTACAAGAAGAGGCAAATCAAGAACTCAGCTCATCAGCATATATTCCAGCAGATTCAATGGCTATGGGAGCCCAGTCATATAACAAGAATAATGGAGTTGGAAAGTCAGAATACAAGAAGTCAGGATATGGACAAAACTCTAACAATTCTGGTGTAAACAAACCAATGTGTTGTGTTTATTGTAAGAAGACCACACTGTTGAAAATTGTTATGAGTTAAATGGTTATCTCGCAGGACATAAACTTGCACGTTTCAAGCCTCAGGGTCGTACTCAGCAGCAAGGAGGATGGCAAAATAAGACTAGGGTTGTGGCTAATACTTCAGTACAAGAAGAGGGAAACAATGATCAACAGAATGGTCATGTTGGTTTAACTCATGAACAATATCAGCATTTATGTCTTCTTCTCAAAGAGAATCCTAATGTTGCTTCATCAAATGTGTTCCAATCATCTGAAAATCCAAACCCATCCATCCAAGGTAAATACCTATCTTATAATAACCATGTGTCAGTCTATTCAGCCATTCATCTTAATCATCATACTTGGATTCTGGATTCAAGAGCAACAGATCATATCTGTTGTGACATTAATATGTTCATTCACTATACCTCTTGTTCCCCATTACCTATTCATCTACCCAATGGGGGATCCACTCCTGCTACTCACATTGGATCAGTAGTATTAATTAATCTCATACCCATATTAACCTCATATCAGTAGCTAAAATAGTAGTTGATAACAATTGTCTTCTTGTCTTCTCAAAAGATAATTGCATTTTACAGGATCCAAATACCTTGAACATGATCGGGACAGCTGAGTTGGTGCAAGGATTGTTTCATATAGTCCAAGAGAACACTCCAAAGTCCATTGTTAACAGTCTTTCTTCTGTCAATTCTATAAAGTCTAAATTGTGGCATAAACATTTAGGCCATCCATCTTTTGATAGAATGTTGTTGTTTCATGATATTTTTAAAGATATTCCTATAATAAAGTCACAAGAACCTCGTAATGATTGTCATTTGGGGAAACAACATCGATTACCCTTTCCAAATAATCTGAAACATCCTTTGATCTAGTTCATTTAGACATTTGGGGACCCATAGAATATTCCTTTATTAAGTGGTGCTTTGTATTTCTTAACAATTGTTGATGACTTTAGTAGATATACTTGGGTCTATCTCATGATGAATAAGTCTGAAACTAGAAACCATGTACGTCATTTCATATCACTCATCCAAACCCAATTCAATTCCAAAATCAAAGTTTTCAGAACTGATCAAGGAAAAGAGTTCCAAATGCAAAATGAATTTGTTGAATTAGGGATCATCCATCAACAAAGTTGCATATACACTCCCCAACAAAATTCTGTAGTTGAAAGAAAACACAGACACCTACTCAATGTAGCTCATTCCTTACGTTTTGAAGCCCATTTACCTCTGAAATTCTGGGGTGAGTGTATAAGTACTGTTGCTTATCTCATCAACAGAACAACCACTCCTAACCTTGATAACCATTCACCTTTTGATTTATTATTTCAAAGCTACCTTCATATCATCATCTTAAAACCTTTGGGTGTCTGTGTTACTCATCCACCATTTCTCATCAAAGATCAAAATTTGATGAAAGAGCAAATCAATGCATATTTCTTGGATATCCTGCAAATATCAAAGGATACATTGTCTATGATCTTCAGAACAATACTAAACTTATCTCTCGAGATGTAGTATTTTATGAAGAATCATTTCCTTTTGCACCCCAATCTCGCAATGAGTCATCCGACTCTAAAACGCATTCACCCATTATAATTCCTGAAATCAGTCCACTTCCATCTAATAATGTAATAATTAGGGTTTATTCTGTAATTCTCCATAACTCTGTTTTATTATAAATACAAGGCTAGGTTTATTTTTGCTTTTCACGATCATCATGGCCGGCCTCCCTTTTACTGCCGCCATGACATCGGCGCCCTCTCAGCAGGAGCAGCCATCCTCCACAAGCATCGGACTCTCCCAGGGACTCCTATCGGCTTCATCAACGCCCGTTTTGACGGAGCAGCGTCTTCCCACCGGGTCCAATCGCGCACCAGGCAGCGATTCTTCAATTGACGATGGTTCCAACACCAATGTTCTCCCCCGTCCGTTTTCCTCGCCGTTGATTCCATCCATACGTCAAAGGATAACAGATATTCCTTCCCTGGATGCCTACAACCTCTTCAACATGCCGCCACCGTTCACTTGGACTCCGACCGCAAGCCTACCTCCACCACCAGTCTTGCACGCTCATCACGAAACTGGTCCATCCACTGTGAGGTATGCCGGACCGACTTTTACTACTCCATCTGCGGTGTCACTTGCTCAACCACAGGCCTCGGTTCTGGCCGCTCCAGGTTCAACCAATTTTACCGGTTCTTTATCCGAATTGTCCTCTCAATTAACATTCTCTACGCCAAATGTTACTAATATTGTTACTACCCGATTATCTGCTGTTGAGGATTACTTGCCGTGGCGTACCCAATTTGAGTCCTTCTTAGTGTCTCATAGTCTTCTTGGGATTCTAGATGGCTCAATTCGGGTACCGCTTGTTACTGATCCGACCTATTCTCACTGGTTAAAAATAGACCAGACGGTTAGATCATGGATTTTTGCTACTTTGGCTAGGGACATTTTGATGGAGGTATATGATTTAAAATATTCATCTCTTATCTGGGAGCGTCTTGAATCGCGTTTTATGTCTGCCTGCTTTGCTCGTTCTGTGGAACTTAAGAGATCTTTGTCACATATTAAAAAGAAAGAGACACAGAACATGGATCAATATTTGTTAGAAATTAAGTTGATTGCTGATGCTCTTGCTATGATTAATTCCCCTGTCAGTAATCGTGATTTGATGGAATACGCTATTTTGGGATTGGGGCGTGAATATGAATTCCTTATCACGACTATATCTTATTTTCCTGGGAATGCTATGCTTGACTCCCTACGGCCGATTCTTCAAGCACAAGAGCAACGAACCGCTACCACTCCATCTCCGGATCCGTCAACTGTGCATCAGGCCTTCGCGGCGGGCCATAATAAGACTTTTACACAGGCAAATAAGAGTTTTGTTTGGCGGGCTGCCATGGCGGATGAATTTAATGCTTTGATTAATAATAAGACTTGGGATTTGGTACCTTGGGACCCTACTAAAAATGTGGTTGGTTGTAAGTGGATTTATAAGACAAAATACTGTTCTGATGGGTCTGTTGAGCGACATAAAGCTCGACTTGTTGCTCAAGGTTTCAAACAACAGGCTGGTGTTGATTTTACTGAGACATTTAGTCCTGTTGTTAAGCCTACCACTGTTCGTCTTGTTTTATCTATTGCTATTTCTTTGGGTTGGTCTGTTCGTCAATTAGATGTGAAAAATGCATTTTTGCATGGTGTTTTGACTGAGGAGGTTTACATGCGCCAACCTCAGGGTTTTATTCATCCTTCCTATCCTACTCATGTATGTCGCCTTCGTAAGGCCCTTTATGGGCTGAAACAGGCTCCTCGGGCTTGGTTTCATCGATTCAGTGGTTTTTTGTTGAGTCGTGGTTTCTCACAGAGCAGGTCTGATTCATCCATGTTTGTTTATCGTACTACTTCTCAGGTGGTTTATATTCTTTTATATGTGGATGACATTATTATTACAGACTCTTCTGCTTCATTTGTATCCTCTGTCATTCATACCTTATCTAATCAGTTTGCCATGAAGGACTTAGGGGATGTCCATTATTTTTTGGGTGTCCAGGCCAAACGTACACCCACAGGTTTATTTTTGTCTCAGGCCAAATATATATCTGATCTGTTACATCGTTTTCATCTTCACACTGTCAAACCTGTCCGCACCCCTCTACCTTCACGTACTACACTCTCTCTCACAGATGGGGAACTGTTATCTGATGTTACTGAGTATCGTAGTATGGTAGGTGCTCTTCAGTATTTAACTATTACTAGACCTGATATTACTTATGCTGTACACCTTGTGTCTCAGTTTATGCATGCTCCACGTACTACTCACCTTTTGGCTGTTAAGAGGATTTACAGGTATCTGCAGGGTACCAGCACTCATGGCTTATGGTTACGAGCAGATAAAAATATTTCAGTTGTTACGGCCTATTCTGACGCGGATTGGGCAGGCTGTCCTGACAGTTCGCGTTCGACTACAGGTTATGCGGTTTTTCTGGGATCCAATTTAATCTCCTGGCGCTCCAAGAAACAACCGACGGTGTCCAAGTCTTCTACTGAGGCTGAATACAGGGCCATTGCATATACTGTTCAGGATACACTTTTCATTCGGTCTCTTTTGGCTGATATGGGTATTTTTATTTCGGCTCCAGTCCATCTTCTTTGTGACAATTTATCTAGTCAGCGTTTTGAATTTTTACGTTCCAATTTGCACGTGATTTCCCCTGCACAAATTGAGGGGTTGTAATAATGTAATAATTAGGGTTTATTCTGTAATTCTCCATAACTCTGTTTTATTATAAATACAAGGCTAAGGCACCCAATAGGGTAAGCCATTATTCCCAATCATATTTTCGTATACCATCATCCACCCTTTCAACAACACCTACTATTCCACTCATAACTCCGGTTGAACAAGAGTTCACAAATCCACCTGAGTACCCTCCTGATATAACATCCATTCGTAAAACCACAAGAACCCATAAGCCGCCCACCTATCTCAAGGACTATCAATGTAATCTTGCATACCACTCAGCTGCATCTCTAGGTACCAATTCTGATAATCATTCTTTATCAAAACACTTTACCTTTCATAAATTGTCTCCATCTAATCTCAAGTTTGCCTTAGCCATTACTCAAGAAACTGAACCCCACACATTTGAAGAAGCATCATTAGTTCCTCATTGGAAAGAAGCCATGAAAGCTGAAATTATTGCTCTTGAGCAAAACAAAACATGGACCTTGCAAACACTGTCACCAGGAAAGAAAGCAATTGGATGTAAGTGGGTATATAAAATCAAGTATCATTTAGATGGATCTATAGAAAGATACAAAGCAAGACTTGTGGCAAAAGGGTATACACAAAAGGCAGGTCAGGACTACTTTGATACCTTTTGCCCCGTTGCCAAAACTAGTACAGTTAGGTGTCTTCTTTCAATTGCAGCTGCAAAGAACTAGAATCTTTCTCAACTAGATGTAAATAATGCTTTCTTGTATGGAGAACCAGGGCCGGTCCCGAGAAAACACGGGCCCTGTGCAAAAATAAAATGTGGGCCTTTTCTAAAAGAGGTAAAAATATAATATAACTAAATTTTATATTTGTAACAATTTGCTACAATAATAATTTAGATCAAAATATAAGTTATTCACTAACATAATAGTTAAAATAAAAGTATTCCTTAACAAAGTACACTTCAATTATTTGTTAAAGCGAATTGTAAAATAATAGACTAATAACCTAATACTTGAACTTGGTGATTCGCCAAGTTCAATTATTACAAAACCATCCAAAAATAATTACCTACGTACTAGCATTCAAACTTGGAATCAAAACCGAAAAAAGAACAATATAAATTACAAAATATAAGAAATAATATTATTACTCCGCATTCTATAAAACCAAAGAGAATAATCAAATCTAAAATGAGACCGTTTATCATTCCATTAATTGGAGAAAAGGGCATATCACATGGGTGTGTGGGGCTGAATCTTGGGGAAGAGCTTCAAGCTTCGAATTGGAAACACGCAAATACACTATGTTGTTAAAACCAGATATTGAGACAATTCAACTCGGACAAGCAATCAATACCGGACTTGGAAGGATCAGTCCGATGTCAATCCAGTCAATGTGTATCGAAAAAAGAAGATATTAAAAAATAACTCTCATTCAAAAATTTATCAATGGTTATAATAATAAATTAAAAATTAATGTATCAGTTTATAAAATAGTCATAAATTTAAGATGTGTTTGTAATTAATGGATAATTTATAAATAAAATTGATAAACGTAATGAGCATTTCATAAATATCATTTAGTTACTATTAATGAGAATTTCATAGTTAATGAGCATTTTTATAAATTAATATATAGTTACTATTAAAATTACAAATTAATATCAATTAGTAAAGTTAATATTAATCATTGTATGATATAAAAACGAAAACTGAATGAATGTTAACAACCACCAATCGGTTGAGATGGCATACGGTCTGCATGTGTTAGAGAGTAGCCAGGGTTCGAATCCCCTGGCTTCATCATTTTTAATGTAGCATGGGAATAACTATTGGGCTTTGAGTAGGTTATAATAGTAGGAGGACTATTAAAAATTGGGCCTTCTGGATTTATGGGCCCTGTGCGGTCGCACCTGCGGCACTTGCCTTGGGCCGGCCCTGTGGAGAACTACATGAAGATGTCTATATGCAGCTACCACCAGGATTCTCTAACAAGGGGGAGAATGTAGTATGCAAATTAGAGAAATCCCTATATGGTTTAAAACAAGCATCACGCCAATGGAATCAAAAATTCTGTACAACCATTATGCAACATGGATATGTACAATCACAAAATGATCATTCATTGTTCACCAAAAGAGTTGGATCAGCCATAAAAATTCTATTGGCATATGTTGATGATATTATCTGGGAATGATGAAACAATGATAACTAATCTGAAAGATTACTTGAAGCAGCATTTCAAGCTAAAGGATCTTGGTTCCTTCACTAAGATATTTCCTAGGGATTGAAGTTGCAAGGAATAATAAAGGGATATGCATTAATCAAAGGCAGTATGCACTTGACATAGTGAATGAATGTGGACTGCTTGATGCAAAACCATCATCCTATCCCATTGATCAAAACAACAGCATCACCCAGAATGATGGAAAGCTCCTAGAAGACCCAATTGAATACAGAAAGATCATTGGAAAGTTGCTATATTTGAAAGTCACTCGTCTAGACATTTCATATGCTGTTAATACTCTTAGTCAATTTGTGGCTAAACCTACTGATGCACATCTTACTGCAGCTTTGAGAATTGTTAGATATGTTAAAGGGAAAGCAGGTCAAGGATTATTATATCTTAGAGAAAATGATCTACAAATCAAAATATACTGTGATGCTGACTGGGTTGCGTGCAAGGATACAAGGAGATCAATAACACGATATTGTGCATTCATTGGAGGTTCTCTAATATCCTGGAAGTCGAAAAAGCAACAAAATGTCTCAAGATCTTCTGCAGAAGCAGAATACAGAGCAATGGCCTCTAGTGTTTGTGAACTGAAGTGGCTGATCAGATTATTAGAAGACATGGACGGTGACATTAGACAAACAAAACGAATCATGCTTTTCTGTGACAAATTTGCAGCTATATATTGCTTTTAATCCAGTTTTTCACGAGAGAACAAAGCATATAGAGATCGATTGTCATATATTTCGAGAAGAGCACATAAAGGGGTTATTTGATATGTTCTTTGTCAAAATTGAAGATCAAATTGCAGACTTGTTCACAAAGGGTTTATCTGCCAAACGTCTGAGTTATCTACTAAACAAGATGAATGTGTATAATATGTTCGCTCATCTTGAGGGGGACTGTGTATAATATATCTGACGTGGATACTAATAGTAGCTACTGCAACTATACATAACAGATTAGTTAGGACTGTTTGTTCGTTTAGTTACATATATGTATACTCTCTGTATGTATAGTAGAATATAACATGTGCAGTTTAGCTTGTATAAAGACTACATAAGAAGTTATTCGAAATATGAATGAAAAATTCTTTTCTTCCTCCTAATTCTGAAAGGGGTTGCCATCATTTTCAGTTGAGTTATACGATAGTATATAGATCCTACAGTAGACTACGCACCTATATGGTCACCTCTATTGCTATTTGTTGAAGTTGATGAATATTATTGCGTCTTGATAATACCAATGATTGAGATGCCGGATGAATATTATTGCTATTATAACAATCAAATAAATCTGTGGCCTATTTTAATCCATGTTCCTGATTTCCGTTCCGTTTGCATAGATTGTGTACCACAATATATCAATTCAGTCTGCCATTTTGAAGGGAAAAAAATACTCATCCTGCATAAGTGCATAATGGGGACTTGGAAAGGGTATACGTTGAAAATCACTTTTGTTAATTGAGCATCAGTGTAATTATATTGAGCATCAGGACTATTCTGTTAAGTATTAGAAGTATAACATTGAACATCATGATCTCGGTTTCATATTATATATTTCACTTTGTTTTCTTGTTTTTTCTTTCAAAAAAAATTCTTAGATTACAATCAATGGATTCAAATATGCGAATCTAGTTAAATACTATGTATTATACTTTGAAATATGCATTGATATAAATTTCATAAACTCTGCTAGTTGAGCATGAAAACATTTTAATTGAACATCAAGCCTCCGCTATTGAGTGAGGCTATGTGATCAAACATCTTCATTGAGCATTGGAAATCTATATTGAACATCAAAATCTCTTTATTGAGTATCATGTTGTCAACTATTGAGCATTGACACTATGATCAAGCTCCAATCTAGTCATCACAAGCTCCAATCTTATATGCAATGGTAAACGTGAGTTTCGTCGGCTAGAGCCTAGAGGGAGTCAACGTGCCGTGAATAGGAGCTTCTTGTGGGGGACGAACATCTGGTCGACTGGCCGTCTAGGTGCGAACAAAGAACCATACGTATGGGTGCGAGCAACGAGCTGTAAGTAGGGGTGGACTGAACCGGGCCGGTTCGGGCCTCGGGCCTGGGCCCGGCCGGGCCTCGGTTCAGAATATGGAGGCCCGAGCCCGAACCGGGGGTGGCCGGTTCCGGGCCGGTTCTGGGCCAGACCGGGCCGGTTCCGGGCCGGGCCACCCGCCCTATTTTTTTTTTTTTTTTGGTTTCTTTATTTAATCCCCTACCCCTCTTTCTCAACCCCAAACCACCCCAAACCACCTCAAATGGACCAAAATATCTAATCTAACCCAAAACATAAAAAATTTTAAAAAAAAAATAAAAAAAAATTATTTCCGGCCCGGACCGGGCCCGAACCGGCCGGGCCGGTTCACCATATGGAAGGCCCGGGCCCGGAATCGGGAACCACCGGGCCGGTTCGACCCGAACCGCCGGTGGACCGGGCCACCGGGCCGGGCCGGTCCGGTTGCTACAGTGGCCGGGCCGGGCCGGTTCCGGGTCGGGCCGCCCGGCCCGAGTCCAGGCCTAGCTGTAAGTTCTAGTGCGAGCAGTGAGTCGCCCGTCTAGGTGCGAGTGGTGATTGGTGAATGAGTGAATCATCCACAGTCCATCTGTGTGAGCAGTGATGAGCAAGAATACTTTAGCGAGGAGGATGGTCTAAAAACCCGACTATACTGTGCACATGGTACAACTGGATGTACAATATAATTTGCGAGGGTATTATGGTTTCAAACTACTTGCAGGATATGACGGTAGGGTCATTTTCTTGCATTTTGTGTTAGGTCCTTTTTTTCATAATACAAAGTGGTCTCATACTCTCATATAGTGCTGGACTCGGGCCGGGCGGCCCGGCCCGGAACCGGCCCGGCCCGGTTACTGTTTGGCCCGGCCCGGCCCGGTTACTGTTTGGCCCGGCCCGGGGCCCGATGGGTCCCTCGGTTCGGTTCGGCCCGGCCCGGCTGCTGGGTGGTTCGGGCCCGGGCCCAGGTTTTGGTGAACCGGCCCGGCCGGTTCGGGCCCGGTCCGGGCCGGATTTTAATTTTTTTTTTTTTGAAATTTTTTTAAGTTTTAGGTTGGATTAGGTATTTTGGGCCATTTGAGGTGGTTTGGGGTGGTTTGGAGTTGAGGGGGAGGGGTAGGGGATTAAATAGGAGAACAAAAAAAAAAATTATTGGGCCGGTTCGGCCCGGCCCGGTTTGGCCCGGAACCGGGACCGGAACCGGCCACCGGCGGTTCGGGCTCGGGCCTCCCTTTCCTGGCCCGAGGCCCGGCCGGGCCCAGGCCCGAACCGGGCCCGAACCGGCCCGAGTCCAGGCATACTCTCATATGCCAATAAGAACTCTACTAGTAATATTTCAGTCATTTTTTATATATAATTGTATCGTATTATACACGAATGTACATATTATCATATTGTTCGCGAAACATATAATACTAACAAAGTATATACGAGCTAACTACATATTCAGGTTTACCATAAAAGAAACAAAATTCTTCAATCGGATATTTACAAGACCAAAGAGATTAAGCTAGAGGTATCTAAATGCAAATCACCAAATCAAATAAACATATTTTAACCCTACAGATCTGCAACCCATACGCATGTAATTATGCTGACATACAAACCAAACATGTTACTTAAAACAACAGAAATTGACATTTCTAGCTCACTGTTGCCTTTTACAAACTTTTACATGGCGGTGTAATATACAACTCATAGGGAAACCATACCACATAGCTTCTGTATGCATGGGTCACAGTGATGTGGGCATTTGTTGTTGTGCCCTTTGTTGTTGATCAGCAACTGAAGCCAAACCCTGCATTAATCTAACAATCTCAACTGTGTCATCAACATAGTATTTGGCCTTGCTTGGCTTTTTTCCGACAGTGCAAGCAAAGACTTCAGCACCAGGTGCCATGGATGGGATTGACACCGAGTTCATGATCACCTCAAACATATCTTCGTCTGACTGGTCATCTCCAATGCACAGAACAAAATCTGGGGCCATCGCTCTCTCTTGCATCAGCGAAAGTATGCGTTTCGCTACAAGCCCTTTGCTTACACCCTGCCAGATCTCAGTGATATGAGTAATAAAAACACCCTGAAAATCTCAAGTGTCATTACTTAAGGAAGCTTGCCCCCTTTTCGGTTAATTAGGCTATGGTCGCAGCAGAAAGCCGGAAACAGAGAAATCGTGAGACCGAGAGGTCCTAGAGTCCGAATAAATACTCCAGTAAATATTCTGTTGAAATTGACAGACTCTTTCCATGATGTTCTCATTCACAGTAAGTTATTAGTTAGGAATAGAGATCAACAAATAATTTAATTAAGAATTAGGGTTCCTTCACAGATGGTCAACCCACACCTTATATGTTGGTTTAGCATGCCCCACAACGGCCACAAGATAGTTACTTGTTGATCATACTATTCTTAAAACTTGTGTACTCTTTTTGAGTCTTTTGAACATTCTCATACCATTCTTAAGGTTGTCTGTCTATTTGATACTTGACCAATGTGGTCTCACTTAATACATGCTGTTCTAATGACATCATGAAAATGAGGTTTGAGGGTGGACACGATCCGACTACATTCTGATCCCCCAAAAGCAAGAACCGTAACCGGTAATACCAGGTTCCGCCGCTCTCATGAGATCATGAAAATGGGACTTTAGGGTGGACACAACCCGGCTACTTTTTGACCCCCCAAAAAAGCAAGAACCAGAACCGATAATGTCAGGATTGGTTCCAGGTCAGTTTGAACCAACAGTCTGGATCTGATTCCTGGTTTCTACTGGTTCAAACCAGAATTTTTGTGCCTATGAGTTCACTTCATTTAAATTTGTTGCATAATCAAATGCTTTTTCCATCACTTCCAATGGAGCAAAAAACTCACTATTTTTTGGCTTCGGAATATGATGGAAGGGAAAACCGCACTTTTAGTCCCTGAAATAGTCACGAAAATGAAATGTCGGACCTGTACTCCCAAGTTTGTAAATGTCGTCCCTCAATTGTCCTAAATGCTATAAATGTGGTCCTTTGAAGGGTGAAATATACAATGTGGGCGAGAGTACATTTCACCCCTTAAAGGACCACATTTACAATTATTTGGACAATTGAGGGGTGAAATTTAAAATATCAGAAATATGGGTCTGACATTTCATTTTCGTGACTATTTCAGGGACCAAAAATGGAATTTTCCTATGATGGAATAAGCAAAATGGCTCATCCGCACTTCATTGTTATGAAGCAACAGTCGGTCCTTGCAATTATCGATGCGATTTTCATCATGAGTCATCTGGGAAACAGTCTCTCCATGCTTTAATACACGGGAAACAGTCATCTGCCAAAGTTTAATTCATGCACTTTCAGCATTTCACTAGTATTTGGTTATATGGTGAACGGGGTGAATTAGATCTTTTGAATGTTTTCACATAGGAATATAGGATGACTGAATCTAATTTAAGTATTACTCCCCTTGTCCTATTGAAAAAAGATAGCTTCCTTGGGGATAGGGGTATTGAAATTCACCAAAACTATTCTAGGTTACATTTATTTTGTATTTAGAGTCCGGCACTCAATCCACATTCAATCTGACAAATCTACTCTTTGCATCAAGATTCTTATTCGTGGCATGTACGAGGGAGGGAAAAGACCAACACAAAATTTCACGATAACAATATCATGAACATGAATGCAGGCATGTTCAAAGAATATTTGAATCCACATTTCATTACAAATAGGAATGATTCGTGTTTGCGATGAACTTGAGAGTTGAGACTTATGAGCAAAAAAAATCCACAGTAACATTAACATATTTAGCAATGTTAATTGAATTGCTTGATAACACACAAGTATTGCAGCCATGTAGAAGTAACATTTTTGCTGAAGTTGAAATTTAACGATACTATGTATTATTTTCATTAGTTTATTAAGAAAATATTTTGCATTAACCTTTTTATAATTGTATGGTTTACAACTTTAGCAACATTCACTTTACCCAACAGGCTCGTACAATCTTACAGAAGTACGAGTTCTAAATAATACATTTATAACCATAAAAAATGGATTATAGCAAGACCTAGGTCGAGCATGTTCAGCACATTCAGTCTTTGAGGTATTTCGGGACCCACATGATGTCTATTAAACATTTAAACCGTCAAAACGCTCCTTCAGGAAGCCAAAAATGCACTATTTGGGACACATGATATTTAGTAATGGGGTCAAAGTCTATCGAGATAAGATTCGAGCAATATGGACTAAACCACACCCGGTTCTATAACAGCACAATGGGTGCCTCAGGTTTTGCGGGGTGCTACTGCAAGTTCATTGAAATTATTTATCAACTTTTGTGCCTTTGAAAACAAATCCATAGGCCTTGTTTTGTTAAGAGATTTAGAAGGTAAGGAGGGAGTTGTATATATGTTGTAAATAATATCATCCACAGCTCTAATTAATCATGAGAAATAGAGAATTAATCATATACATGCAAAACAGATGGTTTAATTAACCATATCACGCTCTTAACATTTTGATTGCCGGAAAAGATCCATTGGGGTGGTTGTTTAGCATGTGAGCCCTATTTAATCAACGCCTGAACAGATAAATATGAAAAGGTTGGCAAAACATCATATCACATGATAGAAACCGCCTAATTTTGGTTTATGAAAAGCATCCAAGATGACCGCAGTTTTTCATGATGGATGTTAAAGAAAGGGGTTCCTTTCATATTGGTTCTCCACAGAGCATAGGACCCATCTGATAACATTTTTTGACGTTACACGTGCCCTTCATTTGGAAATGTAAACAGGTTACTCTCACATAGGAATCAAACTCATAATTGACTCCCCTACTTTCAAACATCCCATCTACTTTTCATGCAATATGTAGGTATATGCAATGAGCTAGAGCCATGTCAGCCTTTACTTGCCATGTCACAGTAGATTAGCTTGCCATGTCACAGTGGAATAGTTTAGTTGTTAATATTAAACAGACAAGTTGTTAGTCTGTTAGATTTGTTGCTGGGTAAATCTCTGATGTATTCAACATCTTACTCAATGTTCATCGGTTCATCCAATTTTGGAGCTGAATTCTAATAAAACAACTTTTCTTTTTTGTTCGGCTCCTGTTCTTACTTTGAATTCCTCCACTTAGCTTGGTATACTTGGTTAGAATATATGTCCTAGCGACAATCACTTTCGTAGAGATATATGTACTTGATCACATTTAGTTATATATATTTGATATATACAGTATTATACATTAATGAATAAGTATTTCGATTGTCAATGTTTTATTCATACTTGTGTTCTCTTGGACTTGTGTTGTAATTGTGTTAGTGAGAGCATATGTGATATAACATAAAATCCTAAAATACCCCCAATCAATATCATCAAGAAAGGGATATTAATGATATGCGATAAAATTGGTATGTGGACTACACAATACTTTTAGAAAGTGTAGTTGATCTCACGACTATGAGTTCCTATAGTTCATGATGGTCACATAAGTTTTTAGAGAATATTGGCATACCTAACGAGATTATCGGCGTATAGAGTAGTTAATAGTCCTCCGACTTGAGGTCAATACGTATTTCATGTGCAGAGTGATGTGCTTAAACCATGACCAACGTTTGCACTCCAATTGGGGTAGACACGACATGTGTTAGGTGCATCACGAAGCACATGGGGTAGTATTTGAGCCGAGAAATGATTCATTCCTCTTTTTTTTACTCCAGGGGGGTCTGGGGGTTTGAAACCCACTACATTGGTTTTCAAACCTTTATATGCCTAGCGGGATTCGAACTTGAGACCTTCCACTAGGCACGGTAACCTCACAACCAGCTTGGCTGGAATGCTTGGTTAAATGATTCATTCATCATAATAGATTAAGAGAGAACGTTCTACTTCTCATATCTAGATGACTCATAAAGTCAATGGCTAATTCAAAGATATGTTTGTTTTGAATATTGTGATCGTTGTGGGTCATCTAGAAATATTGAGAGACAGATACTAAGTTATTGGAATAAACACAATATCAAGTTCTAGACTTAGTTAAATGTTTGTTGAATGAAAAGACCGTATCACTATGAGCTCTATATTACACGGAGTTCGAAAAGTCTTCGTAAATGTCCTTATATAATAAGGTTGTCTAGTAAATCGTTAGGGATTCTACTAAGACCGTATGGGTCACACAACAAGTGATTATACCTTCCAATTGAATTGTTTTTATGGTCTTTTGATTGAATTGTTAGAAGTAATTAAATATTAATTGGATTAAATAATATTTAATTTGTATATGGATTAAATTAGTATTACATTAAAATATATTTAATTCATGATGTTGTTGTTGTTGCATACTTAATTAAGATGTATTTATAATTAAATAAGATTGATATTTTCTTTTGGTATAATTTAGAATTAAAGGAAATATAAACAAAATAATACTCCCTCCGTATTTAAAAGTTCCCTACACTTTCCCTTTTTGGTAAGTTTTTCCTTTAAGAATATTTAATTATCCTTACTTTTTATACTTTTTATCCTCTCTTTCTTGCTTTTTCACCTTCTCTCCTACTTTTTCTATACTATTCAATACCCCTACTATTCTATCTTAAAATACAGTACCCAAAGTTAGTGTAGAAATCATTTAAATACGGAGGGAGAAATAAGAGATTAAGAAGGGTGGTGGCTGAAAAGCCCCTACTTTGCTTATCTCTTTGATTATTTTAATGTTATTATTTATTATGATTAAATAAAGAAACAAAATTAATAATTGATTAATTAAAGAGAGGTGGCGCGAGCCCCTCCTTTCATTATTAGTATTATACTCTTTTGTTTTATTTATTTAATTAATTAATAATAAGTATTGGTCATGTTAGGAATATATCTCATTAATGAGTATTGGTTTTCTTAGATTTGGACCTCATTAATGAGTAAGACTTATTGTGATTGGGAAATTAGTTTAGAACCAGTATAGATACATCACCATCCTTCATAATTCATACACCATTTTTTATGATTCACTATTACTGCTTATTTCCCTGCAAAAAGATTTGCTAGTCTTTCTCTCTACGGAGATCTAACCGTTCTTTCGAAAAAGGAGAAATTACATGAATATCTAAGGTCAAGGATTATCACTGCTAAGCCGGAAGATTTATAAGTTGTAGTTTTTTTTAGAAAGTTCTAGCTTTTTTGAAAAAGAAAAAGAGATATTTTATTATTGTTATATTCGTGATTTTATCATAATCGGGTCGAGAATGATCTGTTTGGGAAAGTTTTAAATTTTTGTTGTTGTACTTTCAAGATACATTACATAAATTTCCTAACATACTTCTCCGGTGTATTCCTTAGAATTATACAAATTGGTATCAATGCAATGATCTCACATTTTTTGCTTCCACCATTAAAGCTTGGATAAAGCTTCGACATTCGTCATCTGACCATGACCAATTGGATTGTTTTTGAAAATGTAATTCATCAAAATCTAAATAGGATGCCATATTCAATATTGAACATGTTATAATTGAATATACAAATGGAGTTTCCCGATTTTTATTACGAGTAAAGAAGATCCACTGATTTGGTTGTATAAAGTCAAAGCTCTATTTTATAAATGCCCTACAGAGCTAAGTATTAAGGGGCACAAAGGCATGCCAGATGAAGATCTGATAACTAGAAGCAATTGCATGAACCTCAGTTATACATAAAAAAAGGATTGGCTAATCTTATGTCCAATAAGCTTCACAACATGCAGAAACAGTTTCACAACCTCTGGCAGTAGAGCATTTAAAACCTGTTTGGATCTCAATGCCTAACTTACATTCATGCTAATCATTCAACTTACTTGAAACAGGTACTCACATGGTATTGGGAATCCGAAGAGAGATAATGTTAATGCTTAATTTTGACTAATTTTGACGGAGATAGAGGTAAAGAGTGCATACCTGTGGCTTTACCTCAACAGTATTCTGTCCACTTTTAACTGTGACAGGCTCATTGGCAAGAACACTCTCAAGGTGATCCAGAAGTTCTTTAGCTTGACAAGATCCAAAATCGGGATCTGCATCCTCATAACACCAAACCATTGAAGTTTCCCTATCTTCAATTGCTGATCCATCTGTGGTTTCAGTGTAGAGCTGCATTACAGGTTCCGCAATTTGTTTCCAGCCACATTCCATCAACGATACACAAGTTTCCCAATCTTCTTCTCTATTTACCCTGGGAAAAAGAGGAGATTTACATAGCTCCTGATCAAATTTATTAATACAAAACTCATCTTCCACATCTTCTTTACCAACAAGGACAACAATGTCATCATGACACTATTAGTAAGTGTATCAGTAGTGCCACCTCCGAAGATGGTTGCTACTGTTCAGTGCTACTGCCAATGATGGAAGCTACTATCTAGTGCCTCCCCCAGTTGGCACTGTTTGGCAAATGGCAACGTTTTCAACTGCTACAGTCCAGCAAAGCTGTTGACGGTGACTGCTACTGTATTACATGCTGTCAGTGGTGGCTCCTACTATTTGGTGCCTTATTCGATGCCTACTGGTAAAGTCTAGAGCTGCCACCGACAGTGGCTGCTCCTGACCGACAACGTTGCCTGTGACACCAGAGGTAGTAACAACACTGCTACTGCATGACTGGACTTTGTACTATGAGGTCTAGTTTAAAAATTAGTGGGGCAATTGTAAATTAAAAAAATTCAGATAGTTTTCATAACTTTTTCAAAGAAATATCCATAGTCACTCTTAAAGCACTAATTTATTCATATCATAAAACTGATAAGTGGGTCAGTGGGTGAAGCATACGTGCCTGAAGAAATAGCCATGCTCAGCAGCAATTCCGAGTTTGTCACACGATGAAAACCATTCATCCATTTTCTCTCGACCTCTAGCACTCACGATGAAAACCATATTGTTCTCATCTCTACTCAAAATGTTGAGAATCTCACGAGTTTTAGCACTCGGTTTCTTGTCAATTGTATTTGACGGCATTAAAGTGCCATCATAATCCAATAAGATTGCCCGGTTCGTCGTCTTCTTATATGCCGAAACTATGTAATCCATTGCAAGTTTCCTGAAATTCGGATCAAGTGCAACGACCCGAAACTTCAAGCCAAACCCAATGCCCCAAGATCTACGTCTCGCGTGATCTTTGCATGCTCTCTCTAAATCAGTCAAGAAACTACGAGCCCAATAGCCCACATCATGAGTGCTAACATACTTGTAGTGTTTATCATGCCTAAGCTGCTTTTCAGGCTCAGACATTACCAAGGCAGTGTCCATAGCATCTGCCACTGCATCAATATTCCAAGGGTTTACTCTGATGGCTCCACTTAACGATGGCGAACACCCAATGAACTCAGATAAGACTAGCATGCTCTTCTTTGCAGCAGGCGAATCCTCTTGTCTGAAAAACTTTTCCAGGTTCTCATTTCCCTGACGGCTTATTACGTACTCATAAGGCATGAGATTCATTCCATCCCTAACTGCAGTGACCAAACAACACTCTGCAACCACATAGTAAGCAACACGTTCATAAAACTTCAGCAGCTGATCAATCAGGATAACAGGCTCGTACCCAGGCATCCCAAACTTTTCATTAATCCGTTTCACAGTAGAGTAAGTCTCTTCCTGCACTTCCTTCACGTCTTTCCCTTTACCCCTAGCAGGATTGGCTATCTGCACCAAAACCACCTTCCCCTTCTTCTCTGGATGTTGAAGAAGTAACTGCTCCATAGCAAGTATCTTCAAACTTATGCCTTTAAAAATGTCCATGTCATCAACTCCCAAAAGCATAGTCCTTCCCTGGCCGTGGAATTGTTTTACGAGCTCTCCAACTTTGACCTCCGTCTCCGGAAGACTAAGGACTCGCTGGAGCTGCCCCATGTGTATGCCAACCGGAAGAATTTTAATACTCACAGTCCGACCGTAATACTCAATGCCTATGTAGCCTCGTTTAGACTCATATGATAGCCCTAACATCCGGCTGCAGCAGGAAAGGAAATGCCTGGCATAGTCGAATGTGTGAAAGCCAATCAAATCAGAGTTTAAGAGACCCCTTAAGATCTCTTCCCTAATTGGCAAAGTCTTATAAATCTCTGATGAGGGAAACGGGCTATGCAGAAAAAACCCAAGCTTTACTCTGTTGAACCTCTTCCTCAAGAAGGTGGGCAGTATCATGAGATGATAATCATGAATCCATACAAAGTCATCTTCCGGGTTAATAACCTCCATGATCCTATCAGCGAAAATCTTGTTCACAGAAACATAGGCCTGCCAAAGATGACGGTTGAACCTACCACCAAGATCAGGTGATAAGGGAAGCATATAGTGGAACAAAGGCCATAGATGCTGCTTACAAAACCCATGGTAGTGCATAGTGTACATATCAGGAGGCAAGAAGGTTGGGACACATTTGAATGTTTCAAGTAGTATCTGTGAAACCTCATCTTGTTCGGTTGGGTGAATCTCCTCTTTTAGACAACCAACGTATATCACCTCCATCTCATCGTCACCCAACCCATCTTTCAACTGGAGGAGAAGCGAGTTCTCATCCCAACTGAAAGTCCAACCCTTTTCGTTGTCAGACTTCTTCTGCCCCCTTATAGGCAGCTGGTTAGCAACAATGATGATCCTGTCCCTAGGTGAAGAAGACGAGGATCGATCAGAGCACCCACTCTCGGGTGCATCATCATCCAAATCAGACATGATCCCAGCCACTATACGTGGAATCCGCCGGCTCATCCGACCAAAGGACGGAGATAGAGTTTCCCCGGAGGCCAACTCTAATAGGTTCGAATACGATCTAGACACCATTTCACCTTATTACACCAAACCAAGATCTTTCCTTTTTCTCTCTTTGTCTCTCTCTAATCTACCATATGAAGAAAGAATCTACTTCCCACCACACTAACTAAGCCAGAACCAAATTCTCTTATGGGTGCTAACAAAATCAAATCAGGAAGGGTCTGCAAGGAATCAGCAGCTGTTGGTGGGAAACAAGATATGTACCCTACAGATAAACATAAACATAGAATAAAGTAACACAAAAAAGAGAATAGATTCACACACAAAGCACAACTCAAATAGAGTTTTTCCTCTGTAGCAAAGATTTCAGTACAATAAAAAATCACGCCTTCAAAAGCTCAGCTCAATAATTATCAAGTAAAGTTTTTAAAAGAAGAAAAAAAAGCGCAACGAGACTCAGAGAGCCGAGGGACAACCCATAAAAAGGGAACTATTATAGCTTTGAGAAATCAAGAATGAGTGGATGGATTATTACCGGTTCTTGACAGTTGGAGAAAAACCCTGGAGTGAAAACAGAAGATAGTGAGGGGGGAAAGCAGAAGATCTGAAGATAGGACGTAGATAAACTCCTAGGCACTTCTCCACTTCACTCATGCTTCATCAGCTAGCTGGTGTCCTCGTCTTCACTTTCTACTGTGGGTGGACTCAAAATATTACTCCGCGATTAACTATTAACAACGGGTACTACATGAATTAAGACAGGATTTGAAATAATATTGGACGTTATTTCTATGTTTGTTTTGACAAGTCTAATTATTATAGGATGATTCATTTCTTTAGTTATGCAAAAAAATACGAAGTATTGCTTTCTATTAAAGGGATTCGTTTTTGTGATTCCATTCCCTTTCTATCTTGCATTGCGTCATTTCTAATTTAGCACAGACAAGAAGGATTTCTCCTTTTAACAACGCAACTTATCTTTACTCCTTTTACTCTCTTATCACATTAGTTGTCTCATTTGTTTTTACACGTAATTTATACAGTAATAGTTATTGTACATTTTTATAAAAAGTAGGAGGTTGTTGCTATTATAACCGCATTGTAGCTGTTTTTAGGGTGCGTTTCTTTCCAAAAAGAGAAATGAGACTATTAATTTGATACGTCCCAAAATAGAAAATATGACAACTAAGGTGAGACGGAGTAAGTATTAGCTTACGAGTATTTATTTAGAAAAAAATGTTTATCTATCGTTGCTGAAATATTCTTCTCATACCGGCAAATATAAAGTACATAGTATTAGATTATTATGGAGTATTTATGTTCATGAATTATTATTTTTGACAAAATTAATAATTATTATGAAGTGTATGGCCGCGAGTTTAGGCGTGTCAATAGGTCGGGTTCGGGCCAGAACGTAGTGTTCTGGACCCAGAACTGTGGAATAAATAAAGGATCCAGCCCCGACGTGAGTGCCCGGCGGGTCTGAAATTTTGGACACGAACACAAACCCAACGGGTCTCGGAAATGGGTCGGGTAGACCCGACAAGTATGATATGAACAGCATTATAAATTTTGTGCAAATGACAACACATGTATATGAAATGTAAAGCAAAGTGAGCAAATTTAAAAGCAAAATATATATATTTCACTTATCAAAAAAATTCAAGTTTCTCATATAAAATTACTAGTCTTATCAAATAAAGTATTGGTTCTTATAGAGGCTCATAACTTCACACTTTGTGTCTCTTTCTCTCGCACAGAAAGCTGTAGATTATACTAGAAATTAGGTCATAAAAAGGTCTCTTTCTCGACTATTGAGAGTATAAAAAACATATTATATATGATAATGATATAATAATATTAATAATAATAAATATTGAGCTTTCCCTATCGAGCCTAATACACACTTTATCAGTATCAATGAATGGACAAAATGGGTATTAGTTTTAGGTTATCTCACTATATTGATCAGTATCACTTATACAGTAGGTATGTATTAGTGTGTATCTTTTTAATTAAAAATTACAACTAATACACTTTATGTATTAGTGTATGCGTGTGTGTATAATAATAAGAAATTTTAAATGGGTCGGAATCATATGTACCATACCCGATCCGATTATTAAAAATGTTAACGGGTCCGGGTTTGGATGTGTGTAAACTGAATAAAATATAGACTCATACCCGTCAAAAACTATCGGGTCCGAGTCAGGCTCGAGTGTAGACCGACCCATTAAATTGATAGGCTCACATGCCTAGTCGTGAGTACTTAAGATATTTGTTTCATGCTCATAAAATATGAAGTCTTAAATTAATACTACCTCCTAATAATCTATAGTATTGGGACATTGATGTAATTTTCACATTCTCTATTTATTATATATAGACCACCAGGACACCCTATTAGGGTGAGCCATTATTCCATCTTATTCTCTCATATGGTATCAGCAGCCTAGGTTAACCTAGTATACACATCGTCTCTATCATCGATCGATTTTCCTCTCAATCGATGGCTTCTGCATTGGCGAATCCCACCACGACAGTCCCTACCTCTGCAATTTCTTCGTCTGTCACCACCATAGCAGCTCCAGAGCAGGGTTCGACTGAGTCGCCCTCTTTCTCAACGGCACCGTTGATGTCCTCGACGCCGACTGCTTCCTCCCTTCTGTCTTCACCAAACGTCATTCAGCAACGCTGTAACACCGTCCCCAAATGTATTTACTTTCAAGTAAATGATGTAATAAACCTTATGGAATGATTTACGAATTTACGAAGTTGTAAATTTTTATTAATTCTTTCGCGTGAATAGTAAATTGCACGTGGGGCCCACACCGGGAGCGGGGGCCGCCCGATTTTCCCGAGACCATATATTTTATTCATCTTGGTCTAGATAATAAATATATAGTGGTGGATATTTCATTTGGGCCCTGGAAAAGCCCAGAGTTGACCGATTGGTCAAAAGAGGCCCAAATTACCGGTACTGGTAATTTAATAGATAATAGCCCGAACTGGATTTCGGAGGCTTATAAATTAAAGATGAGGAATGTATATTCATTATAAATGTCTTAATGAGTAAGAGCACATGATATATTTTATTTGACCCAATAAAATAAAATATATTTAAAACAGTCCGAAAAAAATACAACTTTCGGGGCCGATTGTACACATCGGGACATAATGGGATGACCTCCCACAAGGGTGGGGGCCACCCCACGTTTTTGTGTGCTCAAAATAAACAAGGAGGTGGCTGAGTTGACAAAAGAAGGAGTGGAGGAGGTGCTTTTGGCATCTAAAGTACATGGAGGACCCCCCTCCCTCACTCATTTGTCAATTAAGACAAAAGTGAGACATCCCCTCTCCCTCAAACCATTGAGCTCGACCAAACCATCCAAGGGGGAGAGAAAGAGCTTCAAACTCACCTCCATTGCTGCAAATTTGAGCTCAAGCTTTAGTGCTCAAAGGAAGAAGATTAAAGAGGGAAAAAGTTGGGAAAAGTGTGAACAATTAAGGCACTTGTAAGGGGTATTTCAAGTGATTTCACAAAGTTGGAAAAGTCGCCGGAGTTGTCGCCGGAGTTGACCAAAAGTCGCCGGAGTTTCACCGGAGTTCAACCAAGAAGGGTAGAACTTCATAACGCTAGTTTCAAGGTTGAAGCTATTATGGATTGGGAGAGACCCAAGAATGTGAAAGAGATACGTAGTTTCCTTGGCTTAGCGGGATACTATCGTAAATTTGTTGAAAAATTCTCCGTATTGGCGTCTCCATTAACGAAGCTCACAAAGAAAGGGGCCAAGTTCATATGGGATGACAAGTGTGAGAAAGGGTTCCTTGAACTAAAGAAACGACTTACCGAAGCACCGGTCCTCGCCCTACCCATACAGGGGATAGGGTACGATATATACAGCGATGCTAGCATCCAAGGGCTTGGATGTGTACTGATGCAAAACGGTAAAGTGATTGCCTATGCTTCTAGGCAATTGAGGAAACACGAGGTGAACTACCCTACCCATGATCTAGAGTTGGGGGCGGTAGTGTTTGCACTAAAAATTTGGAGACATTATCTCTACGGGGAGACATGTCACATTTATACAGATCATAAGAGCTTGAAGTATGTATTCACTCAGAAAGAGTTGAATATGAGGCAGATGAGATGGATGGAGTTGATCAAAGACTATGACTTGATCATCGACTACCATCCCGGAAAGGCCAATGTAGTGGCCGACGCACTGAGCAGGAAGAGTACGTCAGGGACGCTACTCACATGTCTACAGGCGTTGAGGGCACGCGTGGAGGTGTCCACGTGCGGGGCTCTCATTGCTCGATTCGAGGTCAGGCCTACCCTATTGGGTGAGATTAGTCGAAGTCAGGCCATTGATGAGGAATGTCAGAAGATCCGTGAAAGGATCCTTGAGGGGCCCGTTGAGAATTTTCGGGTACGTGATGACGGTCTTTTACTGTTTAAAGATCGTGTGTGCATACCAAAGGATGAGGAGCTCCAGAAGTCTATACTTGAGGAGGCTCATTCTTCAGCATATGTTATGCATCCAGGAGGTACTAAGATGTACCGAGATTTGAAGGAAAGTTACTGGTGGTCAGGCATGAAGAGAGACATCGCAGAGTATGTGAGTCGATGCCTTACTTGTCAGCAAGTTAAGGCAGAGCATCAGCACCCGGCAGGGCTTTTGCAGCCACTCACCATCCCAGAGTGGAAGTGGGAGCACGTGACCATGGACTTCGTGGTGGGACTACCACGAACAGTGAACAATTATGACGCAGTATGGGTAGTAGTTGATAGGCTCACCAAGAGTGCACACTTTCTGCCTATCAACATTACTTATCCTCTTGAAAGATTGGCCAAGCTATACACGGAGGAGATTGTGAGATTGCATGGAGTCCCGATATCCATTGTCTCGGATAGGGACCCGCGGTTCAAATCCCGATTCTGGCCAAAGTTTCAAGCGTCCTTGGGCACTAAACTGAAGTTTAGCACAGCCTTTCACCCACAGACGGATGGACAGTCCGAGCGAGTGATACAAATTTTGGAAGACATGCTTAGGGCATGTGCTCTGGAGTTCCAAGGAAGTTGGGACAAGCATTTGGCTCTAGTGGAGTTTGCCTATAACAACAGTTATCAGGCGAGTATTGGCATGCCTCCATACGAGGCATTGTATGGGAGGAAATGCAGAACACCGTTGTGTTGGGACGAGGTTGGCGAGGCCAAACTCGAAGGGATAGAGCTGGTTGAGATCACCAAGGCCAAGGTAAGGATCATTCGGGATAGATTGAAGGCTGCTCAGGACCGACAGAAGAGTTATGCTGATAAACGGCGGAGACCGTTGGAGTTCGAAGTCGGTGATGAGGTCTTCCTAAGAATTTCTCCTTGGAAGGGCATCATTCGATTTGTATCGAGGGGAAAGCTTAACCCCCGATACATTGGTCCATTTGAGATCCTTGAAAGGATTGGAGCCGTGGCTTATCGTCTCAAGTTAACGCCGGAACTTGAGAAGATACATGATGTGTTTCATGTATCAATGCTCAAGAAGTACATACGGGATCCCTCTCACATTCTTGAGAAACCGCCAGTAGAGATCCGTGAGGATTTGCAATATGCTGTAGAGCCGGTGAAGATATATAGTAGGTCAACAAGTGAAGAAACTTAGGAATAAGGAGATTCCTATGGTAAAGGTTCTTTGGAGGAGTGATCGAGTCGAAGAAGAAACATGGGAGACCGAGGTCTCAATGAGGGAGCAATACCCGTTTCTTTTCGATTAGACACACGGATTTCGGGGACGAAATCCCAAATAAGGGGGGGTGAACTTGTAACACCGTCCCCAAATGTATTTAATTTCAAGTAAATGATGTAATAAACCTTATGGAATGATTTACGAATTTACGAAGTTGTAAATTTTTATTAATTCTTTCGCGTGAATAGTAAATTGCAC